TATATATATATATCGGGAGACTTTTATTCAACACGAAGCCGTTGAACACAATATTCTTGTTACCACAAAAGGATTCCAAATTCCACGCGGTTTTTTTTTTTCTTGGTTTTTTTCATGCCTAGCAACTTCCCTACACATGAAAACTGCATTAACCCTATCCGTACATCGTGTTTTTTTACTATCGTATCCATACGACGTGGGGAACTCTGTGCCACCACTTCCCAAATTGGACATTTACTTGTTAATCCGATCCGTACGCTTTGCAGAGCAGTCTGTCAAGATGATTTTTCAAGAAATACTGAAAGTTTCAAAGATATCTTCGTACTAGAAGTATTCTAAAATGTGAAGAATCCAATCCCAGGGGTACAAACAACCCCAGGGCGTACGGATAGGGTTAAAATAATAAAGACATTCACTGGGCCATTTAAGTTTGTATTATCCACACACAAAGAAATTTCAGGGTATGTAGACACTTCTGTGATCAAAAATGACCCCTGAACGACCAATGTGAACTCCAGAACTACAGCATAGCAGATGGTTCACACAAAGCTTGCAGACAACTTTATATCTCTGCCCACCAGTGACACACAGTGAAAGTGCGGTCAAGTAGGCTACTTCCTTCATAAGGCTACATCAATTAGAGTATTACTGGTACTAGTGACCAAGGGTGGCATTCTCGAAAATTACGTGAAGATTTCTTGAGGTGCAATGTTTTACAGTAGTCTAGTGTCTATAGCACTGGTACTACTAGCTATTCTTAATTGCGATACAAAGTGAAGAAAAAAAACAATTAAAATAAAACTAAACAATTTCAATTGTGGTGTCATGTTTAGTTTTCCTTCACGCTAGTTTGCTAATTCTTGAGCGACTTGTAGATCTAATTTTCACAAGGACTTCTGTAACGAGCGACAACCCCGACTAAATAAGGCACTCCTGTACAATTGCAGTCCCATTTGCACTAAATTTAGATCTAAATCACACTTTACTAGGTCTAGCACAGAGTGCTGGATATCGATACTGATTTAAAGAGTCGGTATCAATGTTTTATGTTTTATCAGTAGATCTAGCCTACAAAATGAGCAATAAAATTTCACTTGTTTTAACAAGGCAAGGGGGGTTTCAGGGGAGCAACCCCCCTGACCTAAAAAAACAACATTAAGGGCGTCAAGCGGGGTTTCAGGGTGGCATGCGCATCAAAAAGTAATCGTTTAGAACCAGAAATAATCATCGGTAAGGTCAAAACTGGTATGCACAAACAGGCCGCAATTGTACAGGAGTGCCCAAAATAAAGAAGAGACCTAGATTAGATCTAAGGCCAGCACTATTTCTCCGAACGTTCGGGAAAATAAAGCTGGGCACTATTTCTCCGAACACTCTGAAATCACATCCTTTCCGCAAATTTCG